AACCATGTCCCTCAACACAACATCCAGCCTTTCAACACAACATCCAGCCTTTGAGTTGAGTGTTCTTGCTGTTTGGTATTTGGCCATGTCAGCTGCAAGAGTTGCCATCTTCTCTGTGAACTACAGTGTCCCTTTAAGAAGCTGCAATTGCACTACAGTCATTGCCACTTATGGCAAATATGTCTTTCCTTCGTGCCCCTGCTTTGTATGGTTGAATAGACCCTTGCTGGGTCACTCTTTAATTTGATATGGTCCCTCTCAGTAAAATGATGGAGAAAAGATGAATTAAGGCTCTGTGCTAGTTGTTATCAATCATGGTTTGTGTGCATTACTTATTGCTAACAGTGCTTTTTGACATTAGCCCTCTATAACCTCTCTCTTCATGTTAATGTTGTCTGGAGGTCCTTTTACCCGATGTAGCGGAGGTTATTTATGTAGGTGGTGCTTCTGGGGGGTTTCAAAAGGTCAGCACGATCTCCTGAGAGACTCTGCTCACAAAGAGAAGACTGACGGAATGTAACTGCAAGTTTTCAAGTTGTGATTTTTTTTTGAGAGCTTCTAATAGGGAGGTGTCACAATTTCAGTGAGGCATGCTAAAGCAACAGAGTTGAAAAGTAGCATCTAAGTTATACTGCTGTTCTTAAAACCACTGTTTACAGTGTATGCGTAAGGAAATGCCAATCTACAGTAAGAAATTCCTGTATTTTATCAAGTCAGAAAAAAAACGGTGTTGCATGTAGCTTTTAATTGGCTTGTGTTAATGAAGACTTGCCTGAAACAGAATAAGGCAGTTGAGCCTAAGGCTGAGCACACCTTAAACTGAAATTACTGCTGTTGGTGCAGTAATCGGTGACAGAGTCATAGCAAAGCCCTACAGCAGGCCTGCCAAAGAGGGGTGATGATTGATAGCAGGACTCTTGGTCTCATGTGCTTTGGTTACACTAAACCTTAATCTCATTGTACATATGCGAGTATATGACAGCAGGCAGGGCGCACCTAAGGGAGAAACAGGTCTGACTGATGTCGTGGTGAGGCCTGTCGCTGTCATCTGAAAAGGGGGAGGTTCTGGAGGGCTGTGGAATGTGAATGTCACAGCTGTTTTCAAGGAGGGCTTAAGGGAGGGTCCCAGGTAGCCATCCTGTCCTTATCTGGAGGAAGGGGATGGAGGAGGTCTTTCTAGATGACCAGCTGGGAGCTGGCAATGGCTTACCGGGTGGTGATCTGTGGTGCAAAGTGTGGCTGGTGGTGGTCCTCCAGACCACACTGGGTTCAGCATCTGTTTGGCAGCTTACACAGCAGGATGGATCACATCTGCTTTGCAGATGATGTCCAGTCAGAGGAGTGGAAAATATGGTGGAGGACAGGGCTGCTGTTGAGAGGAACTTCAGCAGGCTGTAGAAGCAGCCTGATGGGAATGTTTGGTGAAAGTTAATGCTAAGTATCCTCATACTGGGATGGGATAACTTGTGGGCAGCACAGGCTGACTGTCCTGAAAATACAAAAGCACCCAGGGTCTTGTTGGAGAAGTACAACGTGAGCCAGCACTGTGGCAGCACAGAAAGCTAGCAGACTGCCAGGATGTGTCAGGTCCCTGGAAGGGACTCTTCTTCTCTATTTGCTCCTCTCGGAGGCCAGCGTTGTGTTTCCAGTGTCTTGTTTGAGAACCAGACAAACATGGGCAAAACAGAACAAGTGTGGCAGAGGCACCAAACTTGTTGGGGCTGAAGCAGAGATGTGAGAGTCTGGAGAGATGGTCTGTGCTGAAGGAGAGACTGGGATGGGGGCTTTGGAGGGGTGGGATGAGGCTCTGCTGGATACCGTGCAGCAGTGGTCACCAGCTGCAGCAGGGAGAATCCTCTAAATATTAGGAGGCTGGATTTCACCCCGAGGATAAACACTAGAAGAGAGGCAGGGCCAGGTGGGTTATGGAATCAGTGTTGTCCTTGGAGGTGCTCAGAACCCAACTGGGTATGGCTCTAAACAACCAAATATAATTAGCTGTGTTTCAGTTGTACCTCTTTTAAGTGCCTGTTGTGTTGCCAAAGAGGAAAAATAACAAATGAAAAGTGACAGCTCAATCAAAGATAATACTGTGGGCTGCATCATAGGCTTGGAGCATTTGATTTTAAGTTTTGTGTATTATTCTTCAGTAATTAGAATCAATATAGTTATTGTTAAGGATGAAATGACAGTGCCCCTTTTTTCATTGAGATTAAAGCTGATGATGAACGCTTTCAGTATTTAACTTTTTTTTCCCAGTGTTTTCCTTTTGAAATTGAAATTTGCCAAATCTCAACGCATAACAGTATTACCATTATCATCACAGAAACTGTGAATAAAAAGAACTTTATTGGATTATGGCATTTGTAGTTTGCTGTGAAAGCTGGGCTATCAGGAAGAAGTTACTGTTTCATAACTCCAACCTACCATTCTTTATGAATCTGAATTACTGCCACAGCCACAGAAAACTTTTAAAATGAAGTAGATATTTATTCACAACCACAAGTGTTCTTCCTCAGTAGAGCTACAGTTTCAGAAAAATAAAGAATTGGGATGTGCTAAGGGAAAACGATAAGGATTTGGATAAATTGTTTCATCCCTGAATGTGTGTCCATCGGCTAGATTTAAGAGTAGGGAACTGGTAGGATTTTCTACCTGAACGTAACCTTTTTAGACCCAAACAAGTTTTCTTGCTTTCAAAAGTACAAATTCTTAAAAAACTGAAGCAGCCGTAAACATCAGCATCAGCAAAAGAAAGGCATAAGATAATATGAAGTCTCTAAAGAAAACAGAAGGAAATGTTTCTTGACATTCTGGAGCTCTGTCCAAAGAGAGAGGTCATGGATAGGAAGATGAAGCACAACTTCATTGAACGAGTCAAAAACATTAAATTTTTGCAAACTGAGGTTCTCACACCAAGTCTCATCAAAAACCATTTATTTCAGTCCATATCAGATAATTAATGTCAGATTTGTTAATCTGTTTCACTCCCTCTTATTTACGTCCTGTGAGTACACTGCAAGCCCACTGTAAGTAAAGAGGTAAGAGAAGAAAGCTGTTCAGTGTGTCTGCATGGTATCAAATAACACGAGTTCAGCAAGATGAAGTACTTTGCTGTTAGTCACCGTGCCTGGCCTCAGCAGTGCTGAGAGGACCACCTTGTGCAGTCCATTGCTGTAGCAACTGCGATGATGAATCCCTGTGGAAGCGCCTCAGACCTCCTTTGCTGGGGCCAGCACAGCCAGGCGCTCAGACTGCGGCTCTCCTTCAGACCTGGCAGTAAAATCGGGCTGCAGCCACATGTGCAGGGTGGGCTCACACGTCTGCAGAAAGGCCATCCTGAAGTTAGCGCTGGAAGCGACAAATACTAGTGTCAAGTTTCCCAACATCTGTAGTGTGTAAATGCACGTGGAGTTAAACTGTCAGATTTTGTAGACAGCTTTTTACTTCTCAGTTTTGTGGCATGCAGGGAGCGCTTTCTCCAAGGTGACGAGCACTGTAGTTGAGTGTGGCCCGTGAAATAAGCTGCCACCAGTAATTTTGCACTTTTTTCTGGGTTTGGATAGAAAAACTGCACATAAGTAAGTAGTTCTCATATTCAAGCTTCCAAGAACAAAAACATGAGTTCAGTAAAATAAACATTTTTAAGTTTTCTTAAGCATATTTGGAATGCGACAATAGTCTTGGTGCAAATGCAGTGCTGGTGAAGGGAGCAGGTTTGTGGTAAGTGCATCCTGAGTGCTGCTACAGAAACCAAGGCGGTTTCTGTTGTTACTGTTTGTGCATAAGGAGGGGAAGAGATGGGAGATGAGAACTGTTGTTATCTGATGGTGGTTGTGGGACGAACCGTTTGGGTTCCATGATGGAGCTGGCTATCTCAGCAGGATTTTGGACCTGGAAATTCTTTGAGGACTTCTGTTCACGTGAGGTTGCTAAATAGAACTGGGGTGTCTCTTTTGAATGCTGTTGGCAGTGCCTTAGGAGAAGTCTATTTTTGCCCAAGGAGGCTGTGGATGCCCCATCCCTGCAGGCATTCAAGGCCAGGCTGGATGTGGCTCTGGGCAGCCTGGGCTGCTGGTTGGTGACCTGCACACAGCAGGGGGTTGGGACTGGATGAGCACTGTGCTCCTTTGCAACCCAGGCGATTCTGTGGAAGCATAGGGAGCGGTACCCTGACTCTGAGGAATGCTCTGCTATGGCTGATGCTTGTAAGCCATAAGTACTTGCAGTCTCTTGCTACAGAATCATTGGCATCATTATTTAGGTCTGTCTGGTGCAATATTCATTACTGAAGAACATTCACCTAGCCCCACATCCATTGTTAACTGTGAATAAATAGGATGCAGAATCATGTCTTTCTGTGGGAGGCTGTAATTTATGGCCATGGCTTAGGAGTGGTGCTGAAGAAATCCTTTTACTGTTCCAGAAGTACACTGGCAGGTGCCCTGGCAGGAGCTGATTTGTGGCTTTCTTGCGGATGTTGCAGTGTTGATAAATGTAATATTTTACCATTATTTAAACTCCCTTTAACTTTTATAGAAATATTAGGTTGGTTGGCTAAGCAGGAGAAATAGCTTTCTAGCACATCCCCTTCATTTTAATTTGATGTAGATCTATGATAAGATTTTACGGTTCAAATAAAATTACAAAGAAGCAGAAGTATTTATGCAGAGACGGTAAGAATTCACTAGTTTAGGGCAAACATCGATATAGTTGTAAAGCTTTATTGATGGGTTATCTTTCACCTGTAAACAACTACCTAGGTCTGTATTCATTTTACTCGTGAATTTGCAACTGAACTGCAGGACCAAAAATATAAATAATTCCAGAATTTGTGAGAAACAGTATGTGTTTTCAAGCTTCCTTGGTCAGTATGTAGTGCTTTTTAGATTCGTTGTGTGGATTAATTTTGTTTTATTTGCTTCTCTGTGTAAATACATATCTTTCATCACAGTAATCCTTTGCTTAAAATAACTGATTCTTATTTGCTTATTTTTCAGTGCAAGTGGTCCAGAAAAGGTTTCATTCGAACAAGGTGGTGTATTACTGATTGGTACGTTGCCTCTTTAACTTCTTTCTGACTGTATGTGTTGTATGCTTTTTTTTTCAGTAGCTGTCTCAAATAAGATGTTCATATACACAAAGAGTAAATTAGTTTCAAAGCAGTTACTTGAATTTGTTATTTATTGAGCACGTAACACTCCAAGTTGTAGTGAGGCACGTCCAAATGTGATTTTAATATTGACACACATGTGCAGTTAGCATGGGATAATTTACTTCATAAGCAATCTTTTGACCAAACATGATCAAAACCTTTCAGTACCTGTGACCGAGTCCAGGATGTGGAGTCGCAGTGCAGAGCTGAAGGGATCCCAGCCCTCCCACCAGGCCCGACGCGTCCAACAGTCTGCAGCATCTTGCCCAGTTCAGACACTGGTTGTAGGCAGGTGCAGCCCTCTGCTCTGGGGTTTATCAGGGAAACTCCTGCTCTTTATGAGCTCTTTAAGCCAGCCATTTAAGACTCCATCCAGTTTCCACTGAAGCCAGTGGAGGGACTCTACTTTTACTGAATGCAGCTTTTTGACACCAGTTACTACTATGTTATTTTTAATGGAACAGAACTTTTATTCATCGTATTCAGGTCAGGAATCCCAGTTTAAACCCAAGGCACGGTCCTGTTCTCTGTGAGCTTGCTTATTCTCATCCCAGAGTAAAATAAAGCGCCTGGCAGCCCACCATTCACCGACCAGAGTTGAGGAGGGTGCAGCAGAGAGCAGGTGGCACGCTTTGCATCTTTGTGCTCATGGACTGCTTCAGAAATAACCCATCAAGTGAGTTTGATATAACCTGCCTGAAAACCGTCCCACATAAGATGTGCTGTGAAAATCTGAGAAGAAAAACATTTTTACTCTTGGGATTATCCAACAGCCTAAACAAACCTTAAGGAGGTGAGAGTTGAGGGCTGCAGATAACTGTGTGAATACAGAAGTTGAACATCCTTATGTTGTTGTATGTTAGCAGCTTTTTTTGGAAGTACCAGCTAGTATTAACAGGAGGTCTATTTCATATAACTGAAGCTATTTACTATCTCTGTTTGAAAATATATCTGTAATAACAATAATATTAGTATTAGTGTATGTAGGAGAGAGTAGCTGATTGTGCAAAAACTGTAACTGAGAGGGTGTGAATTTTCTCCTTGGCTTCACACAAGGAGAGTTCAATAAACCCACAGATAGTTTAAATTTCTCTTGTCCCATCTGGAAATTTGACCATAGTTTTTCACCATTTAGTCGTTGTTCTGGTTTTTACTGCTTATTTTTGTAATAGTCACCTTAACACAAATGAACATAGAGTGCTTTGCCATTCCCCCTGTAGTTTTTTCATCTCTTAAAATCACAAGTTTGATCTTCAAGTCTTGAGTGCTCTTGCTTGTTTGCATAAGCATGTTTATTAGACTAAGCAAAAAAAAATTGTGAAAAATGAGAGAGCAGCAATCTTTTGCCCTTTACAGACTTTCTTTTGACCTAGAAATCAAACAGGTAGCTGCTGGATAATTTAAATTCTTGTTGATTTTTCTGTATCCATATAACATGACACATGACTCCGTCAGCAGAGACCTACTGCTGTGGGAGGCACCAGTTGCTAATCCGGCCTTTTCTCTTACATTACAAGAATTTTCTCTATTTGCAGGAAAAAAAAATAAATCTAGGCATTTATGAGAAAAAGAAAAATAAAGCTCTTCATGATTAGATCTAAAATAAATGTTTTGTTGCGTGTTGGTAGTAAAAAAAAATAAAAAGAGTACTTTCTGGAAGAAGAAGTCTATAGCCAGATGTTCAGATCAGTTAATATACCATGCTTACTTTTCACAAGGGTGTGTTGGGAATAAAAATGAATAGACTCACAGCTTTTTCTGATCTGTAAAGAGGTGAGACATGGTGGTAGGTTCCTGTTTGGAATAGTCTATGAATGTGATCCACATGATATACAGCAGAATCTCAAAGGCTTCTCAGGGCAAGTTGAAGAGCCAAGTTTTGTGTGAATTCTTGAAGGGAGCTATTAGTTTTAACTGCCTGGGGAAGCATCATTATAGGATGTACCTTGTGCGAGAAGCAGAGGGTTTCCAGAAGAGCAAGGAAGTTACCTTATTTCAGAAAACTACCCTCTTCTTCCTCCTCCTTTACTTGGTGATCTGCCCTGGTTGAGTTCCTCTCTGAATCCAGGTTTTTCATATCTATTATTCTTCATGAGCTTACTGTTAGTATAAATGAGGAATTAAGAAATTCTTTAAAGGGAATTTAAGGGGCACTCTTGAGATTTCTTTGTAAGAAATGGAAGGAATTTAAGAAAGCTTTCCATTTTGGATGGAAAGCTGTACATGAGCCAGCAATGTGGCCACATCTGGGCATGGTAATACAAGTGGGACCTCGCCAGTGCAGAGTAGGGGGGCATATTCACCTCTCCTGACCTGCTGGCCATGCTTCTTTAGATGCAGCCCAGGGTACAGCTGGCTTTAGGGCTGCAAGGGCACAGTGCTGGCTCATGTCCAGCTTGCCCTCCACCAGTACCCCCTCAGGTCTTTTTCAGCAGGTCTGTGCTCTATCCTTTAATCCCCCAGCCTGTATCGGTAGTTGGGGTTGCCCAGGTGTAAGATCTTGCATTTGGATTTGTTGAACCTCATGACGTTCACCTCATGAAGTGCCCACTGCTCCAGCCTGTCTGGGTCCCTCTGGATGGCATCCCGTACCTCTGGTGTGTCGACTGCGTCCCACCGCTCAGTGTCATCGGTAAACATGCCAAGGGTGCACTCGACCCCACTGTTGATGTCACTGATGAAGGTATTAAAGAGTATTGTCCCCAGCACCAGCCCCTGGGGAACACCACTCATCAGCCATCTCCATCCAAACTTTGAGCCATTGAGCATTGCTCTGTGGACTCAATCCTGCAGCCAGTTCTTTCTCAATCAGATACTTCACCCATCAAATCCCTGTATTTCCAATTTGGAGAGAAGGATGTTCTGGGGTAACGTGTCAAAGGCCTTAATGAAATCCAGATAGATGACATCAGTGGCTCTTTCCTTGTCCACTGATGCACAGACACCACCATAAAAGGCCATAGTTTGGTCAAGCAGGATTTACCCTTGGCGAAGCCATGCTGGTTCTCCCATATCACCTCTGTGCTTTCTGTGTGCCTTAGCATAGCTTCCATGAGGATCTACTCCATGATCTTCCCCAGCACAGAGGTGAGACTGACAGGTTGGTAGTTCCCGGGGTCATCTTATTTACCCTTTTTAAAAATGGGTGTGATGTTACCTTTTTTCCACTCACCAGGGATTTCACCTGATTGCCACGATTTTTCAAATGTCAAGGAGAGTGGCTTGGCAGCTGCATCAGCCATTTCCCTTAAGACTCTGGGATGCATCTCATTGGGACCCAGTGCTTCTCTGCTCTAAAGGGAAAAGTTGTTTTTGAAACCTGAAATCCCAGGAAAAGTAGTCTATCACATGCTAGAGCTGATCTGTGATTTACCTTGCTGAGCACTGGGGAAGTGGACAGGAAGGCCAAGGAAGAGGGGTGATGCTGAGAGTGTGTGCAGTGGATGTTTCTGGGAAGAAAAGGCCAGAAATCCTTGGAAGGCTCTGGACTGAGCCCAAATAGTGGTCCTCAGTGAAGGAGAGAAATGAGACTGTCTTTCATTGCTTAATCTAGTTGTAACTCTGTGTGTAGCTTAGCCTGAGGTGAAGAGTGCATGGTTTTAGCGCTCTTCACAAGTCATTGTCTTGCTTCTGCCTTAAGGGGGTATATGCACAAAACACAGCACCTGGAAAAGCAGTGTGTACTGAGTGGCATTTCTGTGGTGATCAACATGGCTTCAAGGGGTCTATGGCAGGACAACCAAGAAACTGTTTGCCTGCAAAGGGGAGCTGGCGGCCCTGTTGTCCTTGGCGTTCACCTCAGCTCCCACGGACAAAGACAGTGCTGTGCCTCTTGGACAGAGAGCGTAGAGCTGGTCTGGTCTGAGCACCTCATCCAGCTGAACTGTGCCAGCAGGACAGGGCCCTTGCTGGAGCAGAGGCAACTTAATTTTGCTTCTACTCTTCCCATAACGTTTTTTCGGATCTAAGAACTGGCTACTTTTGACTTTATTGGCATTCTTTCTGTATGTGAGCACAAAGCCTTTTGAACAACGCAAAGCTGCTCCTGGGCATTAGGAAAAACTTCCTTACTCTGAGAGTGACCAAGCTAGGAACAGGCTTCCCAGCAGGGTGGTTGATGCCCCACCAGTACTCCAGAGGCATTTGGACAGTGCCCTCAGTAACGTGCTCTAACGTTTGGATTGCCCTGTGGAGATGTCCTGATTGGACTGACAACCCTTGAACTATTCTGTTGTACTCTATAAAAAAAAATTTTTTTGAAACAGTAGCCATAATTTTAACGTGTAGCAGTAATTTGCACGTAGGACCTGATGGAACGTGCCACATTCTCATTTCCTGGGGGGGAGGATCTTGCTGTTAGGAAGAGCTGTTGTTTACCTACATCTGTGGGCCAAGAGTATTCAAGGTTTTCTACTTTCATTACTCTGGCCAAAAGAGCTTAATCACAAAACAGTGAGATGGTGTCATTTTTGAAAGCACACACCAGGTATCTAGGATACAAAAGGTCACAAGCAGAGAGAATGTAAACCGGAATGCCAGCTTGGCTGTAACAGTTGCACAGATTTCTTTTTGCTGCTCAAGTGGGTCCTATCTGTGAGCAGTTGAAAACTAAAGTTCAGTAGGACAGCTTGCCTTCCAAGTGGCTGTCAACCCACCCTGAGTGATACCTACTGTGTGATTAACATGATGAAAATAATACATTTCTCCATGTGAGCATGATTATAACAGTAAATTCCTTCTGCACGAAGGTTTTCTGCCTCAATGAAAAGTGGGAGTGTGTGAAGTGATTTAAGGTACAAGAATACAGTTGTATGCAGGTATGTTGTCAGTCTTGTGGTATTCCTCTTACAAATGCCATTATCAGCCAAAATCAGCCAAATCTTGTGCAGTCTTGTAGCAAATTCCAGTCCCCGTGTCAAAGAATGTGTGCTTTAATACTGAATATGTTATAAACAGTCCTCACAGCAAGAGGTTGGAAAAATAGGGTGGACATGCAGTGATCACAGGAGGCAACTCAGCTTTTATACAGGAGGGTAGAGGAAGGATTTCTTTTTCACAGGGGCTTGAAGTTGGTTTCAACGATTAATAATGAACTTCCAGTATGCCCCTATTTCTCTTCTTCCCCTACCCAACTCCATATCCATCAAACTTCCTTAGCAGCAGTGCGCTCTGTTTCAGGGCTCCATGTCAGTCCATGGCTCGACTGCAGGGCAGCACTCAGCTCCTGCCGGCTGCTCCGGAGGATGGCGTGGTGCTTCCCAGCCAGAACGCTGCCAGCAGCTGTGTGGGGCAGCCATGGGCTGTGGCCAGGCCCAAGGGACTGCTGCCCACTCACTGCCTCGTGCAAGCAGCGAGGGATGGGTCAGTACTCCTGCTTTCAGGGTAGAATGCAAAGCAGTGACGTTTTACAAATTTTGCTTGTTTTCTGAGACCAGTTCCTCATCATGCAGCACAGTTGGAGCTGAACTCCTGGTGTCCTTTTCCGTGTTGGAAGTACCGTGCAGACTGACCGCTGCTGTCTTGGTGTTCTGTGTGCAGGGGCTGAGGAGGAGCTGCAGTTACACAATTCAGCCTTCAATGTCAGCAAAATTGTGTATCAGTAGCTTTTCATTTTGTTCACTTCACAGCTTTGGTAGGTGTTTAACCACAACATATAAACTTGAAGTTGGTTTTTTTCACGCTCAATTTTGGGTTTTAATCATTTTAGAGAGAGTGCTGCTCAATTTCCATAGACTAACAGACAGAAAGCTTTTCATTTTCATATTATGCATATTTTATGCAGAACCCTACATGCAGTTTTATTTGTGAATGACTTGGCGTAAGTTTTATGATGCTTATTGACAATTGTCCGGTGATGATAGCTTAATTTGCACAGTCTATGTGAGTAAATCTTAAGGGAGTGTGAGGGAAAATACATTGTTACTGTGTTGAATGCTTTGCTGAATGCAACAAATGTTTTTTTCTTTTATCCTGAGTCATTTTATTTTTTTCCTTTTTTTTTTTTTTTTGTCATAGTGCCTTTGACTTGGTAAACATTCATCTTTTCCATGATGCTTCCAATTTAATTGCTTGGGAAACAAGCCCATCGGTTTACTCAGGAATACGGCATAAGGCTCTTGGCTATGTGCTTGATAGGTATGTATTGGCCTCTCTCTATCATCTTTGTTCTTCATAAACAGTTTATAAAACATGTTCCAGAAGGCACACGTAGAAATGTAGAGATTTTTATTCTGTGAACTGAAAAAAGACTATGTGAGAGTTTTCTACACAGTGTCAATTACAGATCGGTTTATAACAATTGCTCTTCTGAAATAAACTAGTAAGTTTGAAGAATCTCTCTAAGGTCACCAGAACTTAGTATAAAGTAGATGTCTTTTTATAACATGTTAGTTAACTTATTTTTAGTCTGCGTGGCGTCTAATAAGGCTGATTTTTGTGTTTTCAGTTAAAGTGTAATAGAAATTAGAAATTGATAGAAGGCTCTGCCCCAGAGGGCTCAAGGAGTGCTGGGACACTGCTCTCAGATGCAGGGTCTGGGTGGTGCTGCGTAGGGACAGGGGTTGAGCTCTGTGACCACTGCGGGTCCCTATCAGCTCAGGATGGTCTATTACTCCTTGATTTTAGAGATTCTGATTGAAAGAGACCTTTGGGGGCTGTCTCATCCATCCTCCTGCTCAGAGCAGCACTGACGTTAACATTGGGTCAAGTTGTGCTAGGCTTACCCAGCTGAGTTTGAATAGTTCCACGTGCAGTGATTTACAGCTTCTGTGGGGCACCTGTTAATGCGTTTGACCATCCTTTTTGTGACTTTGTTTTCCCTAATATCCATTCAGAATTTCCCTCAATGCAATTTGTATCCATTGCCCCTCATCTTTTAGTTCATGTTGCTGAAAGTCCGGCTGCAGCTCTTCTGTAACCACGCAGGTGACAGAGCCTCCCTTGTCTGCCTGTCCTGTAAATGAACAAGTCCAGCCCTCTGAGCATCTCCTCATACTGCACGAGCTCCAGCCCCCTCAGTATTAAGCCCTTTTGGTGCTTCAATCTCAATTCTAGCTGAGTGCTGTGGGTGCCTAATCTTTCTAAAGTGGTGACAGTGTTTGCATGCAGTCATCACTATTATTAATACCATCATGGTGTATAACAGTGTTACGGATTTGATTCATTTGATAGTGAGAATGGTGTGTTCAACAATCCCAAAAATACCCCCAGAATTTACAGCTGCCCTATTCAGCAATTATAAAGTTAGAAAAAAGACCTCTTGTCTCAAGTAAGACAAGATGCTTTCTGCATGGGCATACATGTACTGGTAATGTAAGCAGGTACTGCTCTGATGAGGCACTGCTTGACCTCATGTGTGCCCGAGAAAGTGAGCTTTGAAGAAGGCACAGTACACACCTGGCACACAGTGCTTTCCATGGCCTAAGATAATGCTTAGACTGGGAAAAAGAAAAGCAGGGCACTGTGTGTTTTTTCTGTTCATTGTGTTCCCTTACCTGAATGTTTGATTGTCTTTGAGTCACAAAGTACACAGATGTGCACCTTTGGAAGTTGCGTTCCCTGGTAGCACACCTGTTGCCCTTCTCAGGATTTCATGTCATTATTCTATGTGTATCTCTTCCTCTTAGAGATCTGCTTAGATGTGGAAAAGTGTTGCTTTTTAACATGGGATTTAAGAACAGTGCATGCTTTAGTGATAACAGAGAAAGCAATAGATTCCAGCACGTGCTAATTTGCTGACTGAACTGAACACAGGGACTTGGATCTCTGCAACAAAAAGCTGATGAACACTGGTTGATCTGCACTTGGGACTCACTAGTTGGTGTGTGGATCTCATGCTCTGGCAGCATGACGTTGTCCCATTCCCTGCTGACACAGCAGCACACCCAACCTGGGGATCACAGAAGCCTGGTCTGAGCAGAGCTGGCATAGCCGTTGCGACGTTATGACATCACATTGTACCCTGGGCTGCCGCTTCCCCGTGATTTTTATGGGGACTTCTCTGAGCCCAGGGGGCCCGGGGCATGAAGCATGACAGGGCCACCCAGACAGAGGAGTCACGGGTGCCTGCTGGCCTCTGAAAGCTCCCCATGGCCAGGCTCAGGCCAGCAGTGGGCCCTGCTGCCCTTGCCTGTGCAAGGGGAGTTGGGCCCTGGGGCAGATGCTGAGTCCTGCCCACCTCCCAGCCCTGTGTGCCTCGAGCTGCTGAGGGAGGGAGTAGGCCTGGGGCTGGGGGAGGTCACTGCTCAGCCAGAATTAGGCCCTGGCTGAGGGGACAGACATGTTCTGCTTGCAGCCATTCCTCTGTGCAGTACACACAGCAACACTTCAGCGAATTCCCACCACAAATCACTGTTTACTTTCCTGGCTGTCTCCTGCAGGAGCCTGGAAAGTAGCGCTGCCTCTGAACCAAACTGACACACTGTAAAATATCTGTGAGTGTAATGCTGTTGTTTTTCAGCCTGCTCAGGGGACATCTGATCGGTGTCGATAAATACCTGAGGGAAGGTGCAAAGAAGATGGAGCCAGGCTCTGCCCAGTGATGCCCAGGGCCAGGCCCACAGGCCATGAGCACAAGCTGCAGCCCAGGAGCTCCCCTGCCTACGGGCGGCACTGCTGTGCTGGGTGGCTGGCTGAGCCCTGGCACAGGGACCCGGAGGATGTGGGATCTCCTCCTTGGGATCTCCTGTCCCGTCTGGACGTGGGGCTGGGCACGGCTCTGGGTGGCCCTGCTGACACAGGGGTGGTCAGAGGGACAAAGAAGGCCATGCCATTCTGGGATTCTGTGATTCCCTATCTAAATTTTCATTTTAAAACATTCTAAAATGTGGAATATAGTATAAATGCCTTTTCGGTCCCTTTCTATCTGCTGAAATGCCACTTCTTTCTCAAAGTGTTGCTTAGTTAGGCAGGCAGATAGTTGAACGGAAGATGCTGTTTTTTCCCACTGTATACAAGTAAGTGCTTTTCCTGTGTACTCCAGCAGAGGGCTAAGTAGGAATTTCTCCAAAATAGGCATTTATTTTCACTTCTGGGATATGGTGATAAAAGGATGAACAGGAGTTATTCAGTCTACGTGCTCTTCTGTCTGAGATTCTGTGATACCACTTCTGCAGGCTGCTCAAATCATCAGAGAACACAGCAGCACTTGGTTTGTAAATATGTAGCAAGGAGAGATTTGTAAAAGAACTCATACTTAACTGACAGAGCTGCAGTTAGATCAGGTTCTGTAGTTTGAGAGACAGATTTGTGTGTTCCGTAACATACAGCATATATCAGTGTGAGAAAGACCTTTTTTTCCCCCCTCCATTGGTCTGCTCTCTTTTTCTTACGCTTTGCACTAGGGGACTTTAGTAAACCGGTATAAAACTCATGTGTTACCTACTACACACTTGTTTACACCATACAGTGTGCTCCGTTATCTAATTTTAGCTTTGGACCTCCCACGATGCCCTGGAAGCAGTAAGGTAATACGACTGTAGCATTAGTGTCAGCCGTGGGTCAAAAATGTCATGATGGTATATCATTAAAATGTGACTCTGCCAAAAACTGCCGTACTTCCCTGTCCTTAGAAAAGAAAACCTTCAATTTTAGGTTGCACACTACTACTGTGAGTTTGCATTCAGATGAATTGTTCATTTTGAGAGAGCAGCCAGCCGCAGATCCGGACCTCCGTAGTGAAATGATGGGCTGTCTCGCACAAAAGGGGAGTTCTGTAAGAGCAGTGAATAATGGGAAACCCCTTTCATCGGCATTGCTAACCTTTTGGCAGCCACCAGCAAACTCTATTCTGATCTGCTGATTGGGGAGGACAATACACTGAAGCTCACTTTAAATGAATGCTACCACCAACAGTGTCCCCATTCAGAGGGTTTTGGGAACCATCTTTGACCATTGTCTGCCATCACTCCTTCAGACAGTAGGAAAAGGGAAAGTGAGAACGTCTATAGGGGGAAAAGTACTTCTTTTCTTGGCTTTAATCTCTCTTTAAAGCTTCATAGATCTACATTTCCAGCTGAGCTACTGGAGCTATGCAGTGTCAGATAAATACTGAAGGGAGAGGTTTCAAGCTGAGCTTTTAAATCCCCTTATCTGCATGAACTAATAATGCAGATTTAGTGCTGTTAAAAACAGAGACTGGTAAGTCTTTTCCTTCAAAGCCTTTAAACTGCTAAAGAGCATTTAACAGCGATGCAGTTCAAACCCAGAGAACAATACTGAGAAGGAAAACAGTTTAATGAGCTAAACCTTCACTGAATGAAGCAGAAACACCTTCTCACAGTTGATTTAGGTCACTGTGGGAGTAAGTGAAAGCACAGCTCTGTTCACTCGGCATCTTCATAAACATGAATTAAGAACAGCCTTTTCATGTAAGGTAAAAGCTATCGCAATTTGATGCGCAGAAAACAAGGGAGTTTGCAAATACAGCTCGTGTGAATGACTTCAACGACTAAAACCGTCAGATAAGTTGGTTTCTCAAAATTATTAATTATTAACGCATCTGTAAGACAAGCTTTTAACACATCAGCACGAAGCTTCGCAGTATCTCTAAATTACTGAGGAGAGGGGTTAGAGAAAAAGGGAAATTAAAAATAAATTAAAAAGAAAAAAAGCACCGAGCAAGTGGTTTAAAGTTGTCATTAAAGGCTCCTTCTGGGTGAGTCTGTTGATAACTTAGTAATGTATTTTGAGAGTAAAATGGTTAAATCTGTTGTGGTGTTACGAATTTTTAGCTTTAATGAAATCAGAAAATAAATAAGATAGCTAAGAGAACACTTTGGGGACAACTAGCTGGGATATGCTGAGCCAAACCATAAGGAAGATGTGTGAAATATTGCCTATTTACGAATGCATATGTAAGGCGTATGTATAGTATTAGTCTCTGTAATGAGTTGTGTCAGCACTAACGTAAACGCAAAATGAGTTCTCTGGAGTCAGGTACATTGTTCCAGATAGATGCAAATGCGATCAAAACTGCGCGTGCTTTCTAAATCAGAATAAGAACACTTGTTTTCTTGTTTTATAAAAAAACAGAACAAAACAAAACCAAACCCACAGCCCGTAACAATTATTCCAGGCCCATCTTGGGTAATTCACATGTACAATTAGCCCTGCTTGCATACTGCTTGTGTCTTTTT